ACTCTTATTTCCTCCCTCCCTCTCTCCCCCTCCCTCCCCCCGACATCATTGCCCACCTTCCTGTCCCAATCTGGCTATGCCACTGTTCTGTAATGCACACAGTATGCATGTGTAAGCTTCAATTTACACAACTTTTTCTGTTTATACAGTTGTCATAGCTTCAATTTACACAACTTTTGCTGTTTATACAGTTGTCACGTGGTCCTTAATTTTCCCAGTAAACATTACTTTTAGCATTACAAGGCTGTACGTTTATTACACTAACTTTTCCTTGTACCAAAAATCTAATGCAACATATTCCATGAACAAAACATAACCTTTTATCTAGCTAGCAGTAGCTTTATTTAATCTGATCTATGTAAGAGGGAAAAAAATGGCAAAACAACTCTCGTGCTAGGGAAAGTTAGGCCAAGACCTAACTGTTGCTGCATCTGAGCTCATTCGCTATCCGTAATTATAAATTATTTCTGTTAAAGTTAGTGAAAAGAGTTTTGACATAGTCAGTGTCAAACTCTTTTTCCCTTTCTGTGGTCTGTTTGAGTTGTTACAATTGAAATAAACACATTTTTTATTGTTTGGCAGACTTTATAATCAACTAGCTGAAGTGAAAAGCAGAAAGGAAGAGAAATCAAGACAAGAAACCTATGCTAAAAACAGGGAAAAGGCCAAAGAGTTTCAAAAGGTAACTGCATGTGGTAAAGTATCTTCAACCTCTTGGCCTAGCATTTCCCTATTTTAATGCCTGTTGTTTTGAGCAGTTCTAATTGTACTGAACAATCTAATCTGTGCAGTCCCTTTTTTTGATGAGCCTGCTATCTACATAGTATTGCTAAAAACTGGAGTTCATCTGAAGATTTGGATCCTACGTTTTGAATAACTACTTGTAAGTTATCAAATAGATTACACTAAGAAATAGAACTGCTTGTTTCATTTAAACTTCTAGCAGTTTAGTACACTGTTCCATGCATTGCACCAAATTTAGAGGTAGCCTGAGAAAATCCCTCCAGAAGTATGCATTTAGAACCAAGGATGTTGAAATGAGGTTACTTTCCTAATCAAATTGTTTATTTAGGAAGCCTAATCCGAACTAGCTACTCCGTGCCGCGTGTAGCCGCGATTTAAAAATGGCGGTGCCCGGCTTATGCAAATGAAGTCCGGGAAATTCAAATCCCGGGCTTCATTTGCAAGTGCAGTATGCCTACATTACCCCGCTAGTTTGAACTAGCAGGGTAGTGTAGACATACCCTTACAGAGCTCATGGCTCATGTTGGGTCCAAGCATAATGCCCCTCTGCATTATAAAGGACACGGAAGCTGGCGAGCAAAGATACTGGGTCAGTTTCTGCTCTCTCACCTGTAGCATCCCAGCCCCTTTTGCAGGATTTCTGTTGTCAGTCAGCCATAGCCTCCTGGCTTGCTCATTGTTCTGGTGCGTGGTGAGACCTGCGGGTTCTGTTACTCTTTGCCATTAATTTCCTTTATTCCTGTCTTCTCATCAGCACTCTTGATGTCGGCTGCTTCCACAAACACTCCATCTCCCTCACACTGAAGTGTCCTCCTGCTGTCTCCTAACACGTCTTTGTTTCACTCTAAGGGTATGACTACACTACAAAGTTAATTCGAATTAACAGATGTTAGTTCGAATTAACTTTGATAGGTGCTACACTAGCGCTCCGCTAGTTCGAACTTAATTCGAACTAGTAGAGTGCTTAGTTCGAACTAGGTAAACCTCATTCTACGAGGACTAAGCCTAGTTCGAACTTACTAGTTCGAATTAAGGGGTGTGTAGCCCCTTAATTCAAACTAGTGGGAGGCTAGCCCTCCCCAGCTTTCCCTGGTGGCCACTCTGGCCAACACCAGGGAAACTCGTCTGCCCCCCTTCCGGCACCGGACCTCTTAAAGGGGCACAGTCTGGCCAGCACCCAGCTAGCAGACCCTGCACCTGGCA